CAAAATAACTTCTCGTACCGAAAACCCCTTAATAAAATTTTGAATTTTAAAAATAAGTTAAGACCTTTTGGAAATCAGACATATCATATTGGTTTTAAATTCTTTTTTGAAAACTCGAAGCAAGCAAAGTGACCTTCCTATAAATAAAAAATAATCAAATTCCAAAACATTTTTTCCCGTCGAATTTTTGATTTAACATAACCACACAATCGACTCTTAATTTTGACTTTCTTTTTCGAAATTAACTTTTCTTCCCGCACGAATTGTTCATCTGCAATTATTTTCACACATACACTCGTACATATAAATTATAAGTTTATGTGCCAAGCACAGCAACCGACTATCAATCCAATAAAACTTTGAGGTGAAATATCAACAGGACCAACAGAGCAGAAAGTGGATAAACAATGCATTTGGCAAACTAGGCGAACCGGAGAGTTGCCGCATAACTTTTTCAACTCTAGCTTTCCACTTCCAACGCTAAAAAAATTAAAAAAAAAACTATATAAGAGAAATAATTTTACACTACTACTGCGTCAACTCAGTTTCTATATATGCATATGTATAACATACTCGTACATACATATGTATGTCTGAAAACCACCTCCCAGTTGTGGGGATGGACACATCATATTCTTGAAATTTATTGCCAATATGCATATTGCATATGAAGTGTAGAGTATGTTTGTATGTAACAGTAAAGTAATATACATACATTTGATTACCTCGCAAGTCAGTGGCAAAAAAACAACCCCATCGCCAAACGTATATGTATATGTGATAGAATCAACACTTCTCTAGCTCACGCTGAGTTTGCCTTTAAATAGAAGCATAACGCTTACGCCGACATTTGAAGCAAACCACAGAAGTTACTGCTAATATTGAGCTGGTGGATTTGTATGCACACAAACATACATATATGAAAATTCTTACGTATAAAAAAATATTTTTTTAATATATATTTGCAGATATTTTTAATTCTACTGACAGGTAGAAAGTGAAAATACGCAATATTATCCTGTGGGATTTTAAATATTGCCTCATTTAAGATTAACGCTCTCAACGCTCACCGAATATTGACGCTGCGGGACGCATACTTTATTTGACTTGATGTTGTTGTATAAATGGCTTATTTCTTTTGAAAATATGACAGTGCGGATACAAATATGAAAAAATATGTACAAAATAAAGATGGATATAAATAGATTGCAGGAAAAAATTCGTATATTTAAGAAAAGCTTCAGGCTTAAGAACCTTTCATGAACTTGAAATGGTATATTAACTTCTGTTCGAAGTATGAAAGTACCGTAAGAAAAGTAGATAGATCAATCAGAATTTATACCGCTCCGATTAGGACGACGCGTTAAGTTTATTTGGCCATGCAAGTCAACATGTGTGTAAGTCTGTTCGAACGAAACTTGTTAAACGGTTGTATTTTTGCAGTATTTCGATCACTTTTCGGAACCGGAGAGATCGGTCAACTATAGCTCCCGAACAACCAGCGTGGAAGCTGGTATTCTATATTCATACAAATATTGCCACTGCAAAGCATCGAAATCGAAAGATTGTATAGTTTCTCCCCATAAATGATTTCTCAGATAAAATTATTCATATTTAATCCTTCAAAACTTTTTATACATTCATGAAACATTAGAGGCTTTGACCGGAAAAAAGGTATTCACTAATCTCTATTCATTCGATTTTCAAATATTACCCCTTACCGTGTAAATATTTTTCTAGCTAGATTAAAAGCTAATGACGTGTACCAGAAGTTCATATGAATCATTGTGGTTTATACTACGTTATTCTCATTCTCTGCTTCAAAAAAAGCCATTGTTGATAGTTGGGAATGATGAAACCATTGAAATCCCGGGAGTCTAAAACCAAAGTTATCTGAAGTTGTATGAAATTATTTTAAAAATACCTTTTCACAGCGGATTTTTATTGAAAAGTTATAAGGAAAATTTCTGAATAAAAATGCAAAAATGTACTTCACATAAGTGGCATATAAAATAAATATTTAAAATGGTTGAACATAGGCCGAATAATTTTTTGAGTAATCCAATGAAACAATATAACTCAGTTTCTTTTTGCCTAGAAGTTACGATTATCGCTTAAAACATAACCTTCATTTAAAATTTGCTCGATTCACAAGAGCCTTAGTATTCTTTAATTTATAAATTCAGAAACCATATTAATTTATAACCTTCAGCAGCATCGGAATTTTTTTTTCGTACCTAAAGTAACTACATATAAACATGATCTATGGATTCCAGATTCAGGGCAATTTTTTTTAGATTTTTATCTAATACAAATGCAGTAAATGAGCTGCCCTAATATAAAACAGTATGGAATAATTTTAAAAAGTCTGGATACACAAAGTAGCTTATGGTTACATAAGTTAATGAGAAAATAAGCAAATCGCTGCTAAATCGTAAGAAAATCGACCGATTTCTGAAGTGGACGGCGACTGGTGATAAAGAGTGAATCACTTACACTGATGTAAAATGGAAGGAGAGAACAATTGCCCAACCTTAGCCGAAATCGGTTTCATCAGGACAACGCCAGAGAACGGACATCTGTAGGGACTATCCAGAAGCTTGGCTAAGGACTTATTATGCATACACCGAAATACGCCGAAACCAATGAAAATGGTTTGCTTTCTACAAGAACCACGCATAATTGACATATATCATATAATTTTAACTGTATGGTGAACATCTAGCGGTCGCGATAGCTAAGTGGTTGGCATTGCGTACTGCCATTCGGAAGGCCAGGTTTCAAATCGTGGTACTGCCAACAATCAAAAGCTATAAAAAATACATATAAATAAAAAATTAAGTTAAATTTGCTTATTGCAGTCACCCCTAGGCAGCGAATGTCATCCCCTCTGATTGTATTTCTGACATGAAATAATGGCTTGTCATAAAAAACCACCAACCGTTCGGAGCTGGCTCAGTACAAACTGTAGGTTTTCCATTTGTTGCAAATATCGTACATCAAGACGCAAAACTAAAAATTGGAATAGGAACTCGGCTATGTGTATATACACGTATGTATATAATAAATTGTACCAATTAGATTCTGGGATCATAATAGATCAGGAATTAAATGAAAGAACCAGAAACATCTCTGTTATTTACAAGATGAAATTTATGCAATTATACATGAGGAACAAGGAGTTGAATAGTACAGAACTAAGGTCACACGTAGTGTGTATGTAAGAGGAATTAAAACAGGTTCGGTAAGTTGACCAGAAAAAAAATTTTGGTAATTTTTTCGTAATCTTCGTCTTTTTTTATAACTTCTCTGCACAATTGCCACAGGTTTCAATGGATTTTCTTTCCGAAAACAGTCTTCAAAGTCTTGCTCTTTAAACTTAAAAAGTTCAGAACTAACCGCATTAATAATCTACTCGCCGTTATTAAAAACCTTTCCTTTTAATTTATTTTAAATTTTAAGAACAGTAATGATAAGGTGCTATATCCGGAAAATATTTTGACTGCAGAGTTCGCAATAAAATTACTAGTTATTGAGCAGTGTGTGATTGCGCATCGCCATGATGAAAATTATAGTGCCGCAAATCCTGTGTTGCAAACAACTTTTGCAAACTTTCGATAAACACTCTTCGGTGGACCATTTTGCAGTTACCGTCTGACCCTTTTCCAGTGAAGTAACAGCTACGATTTTAGATCGGGTGAAGTAATCTCACATCATTACTTTTGATGCTAATATTTGTTGCATAGATTTTAAGGGTGGGCTTGCTTCTGTTGTGCTCCATACCATGGACTGCTGTTCGGTTTCTAGATTATACTTCTAGATTATACTTTTTTGTTTTGTTTTTTTTTTTGGAAAAACTGAGCAAAATGCATTCGAGCCTCTTTTTGGGTCTTTTGAACTACAGTAATGTCATCAGTGGAAGATTTTGGTTGACATTCTCGGGGCTTGTCCTCTTCAGTCTGTAATCATCGGAACCACTTAGAAGTAGCCTATTCGGTGCAATCGTTCCATATGCAACTCGGAATTCACTTAATATTTGCTTTCTCATTTTTTTATTGCAAGGGATTTGATAATTTTAAGTCTACCAAGAAATATTAAAAGTCACCAACTGACCGAACAATTGTTGATCCCATTCTATATCTGGTAACACTATTTTCGCGGTAAACTAAACTATTCTGAGTTTGGCTTAGAGCAGAGCAGAAACCATTAGGGATAGCGCGGCGATGTGAATAAAAAGAGAAAGAGCCAAAGGCGTGAACTTTTTGTATTGCAAAATATATACACATAATTTATGGTGACATATAACTTACGAATACACCTTGTGTGCGATTAGAGTCATAACCTCAGCCGAGAGAAGTCAGATAATAAGGTGGTTCAGCACACTTTGTTACTTTGTGGGGGGTCTAGTAAATTCAGAGTGAAATATTAGATACTAATTATTATTAAGCAAACCTATATGTTTTCATTCGATCAAAGTTTCAATTTCAATTCCACCACACTAACAAAATAGAATATCTGGATTCGTGTAGAACAAAGTACTAGATGCTCAACTGTCAGCTATGCTCCTATAAAATTCCCACCAAAAACGTGAAATGCAGACAGTAGCATTCTGGGTGTCATCATTAGCAGCATAGTTGAATTCTCTCACACCACTCAACGCAACCCCTTGTAAATAATTATGACGCTTAATTAACATTTAAATATACTTTAGCTGTCTTATTAGCAATTTCCACTCAGAAACTTTGCAGTGAAGAGTAACCGTAAAATTCTACGAAGTTTGTGAGTTGGTTTTCCGACGTTTTCAGTGACTGTTATTTCAGTTGTAAGAGTTCGCTGTGGCCAAACTATTGTTTTACTGTGTAGATATGTATGTAGCTGCTGCACTTTCCTATGCTCTAGTTGTTAATTACGTATATATGTAAATAAGAAACAATGCATATAAGTCTGTATATACATATGCACAAAAGGAGTGCCCCTCGCAAATTTTCTGTTTTACTTACTGACAACGGTCATCGTCTCGGATTCGGAAACTGTGTTGAATGCTGGCGCTTCGCCGGAAACTTCGCATTTGTAGAGTCCTGTCGACATCAGTGTGACGCGTCGCAGCGTGACTTTTGTATCTGATGAATTGCGAACCTGCAAAAAAGTAGAAAAATATATAGTGAAGAAAATATAAGAGCAATGTTTTCTTTTTTTTTTGTTGAATATAAAATTTTAATGAATTTTATAAAAGGCATTGTCCTTGAATAAACTATGCTCGCCATTGTTAGAAGGGATGAAAAGAAAATGTTTATATGTATTTATTTAAAAAATACAATGAACAACGTGACGTAATTTTTGATAAGACTAAGTAGATATTTTTCCGGAGTTGGCTAATTACTTTTAAGGCAATCTTAAGTTATTTTAATGACTTGATGGTAAAAATTTAATATTGAAATTAACACACACGGAGGGATATGTAATTTTGAGGTTGAAATTTTAGAATATTTATTTATTTGATTATTAAAAATAATACAAAATTAGTTAATATGACGTAACTTGTCGGTTAATGTAGAAATAGTAAAAAGTCTTCTTGCAATGCGGAAATGACTCTATTTTTCTATACTCAGTTGTTTTCCTCGGAAGGTACTGGAAGCAAAAAACAAAGTCTAGTGACATGTAACTTACGAATCGCCGACCCAAATAACTGAACACAAAACCAGATTTTAAAACAAAACGGGCACATCCGCACAACAACATAAGATGTATTTGGTGGTAATACTTCAGAAGACTATTAAAGAGTTGCTGCCAGTAGATTTGATTTTAGAATGAGACAATTGAAAAGAGTCTTACCTCGATAAGCAAAGATAAATTAATTCCATGAATACCTCATTGTGATCATTCAGCTTTTTAGATAGTAAACATGGGCGAAGACGACATCTGATACGTTTGCTTTCGGAGTTTTCAAGAGAAAGGTTTAGTGGAGTATTTCAAGATCTCTATAAATGAGTGAGGGGGAATAATATAGACGATTTTAATTTCGTCTGTATGGTATATATGACACCCTTGTCATGGTTCAGATTAAGACGCAACGGTTTTCCTGCTGGATGAAAGTAATTCAGCATTAAAAATGTCTTTGGTGAGATTGTTTGATTTCCCTTATACCATTTTCGAACACAAGAAAAGCTATCAATGTATTTCCCTGCCAACAGAAGTTTTGTAACCAATTCGATCATTTATTACCTTTCTTCACCTAAGAAATAACTGTTTTTGGACACTATCGAAGGCAATGAGAAAAAATTCTATTTTCTTACACTATTGCAATGGACACCAACGTCAATTCACTTTTGCCTTGAATTCTTTCTCCGTGGATTCTTCCGATATTTATTCATCAATTTTGTAAGGAGCTACCATGGGACACACAGGAGCCCTTATCAGTTTGGCTTTAGAACTGCTGAATTCTCCATGATAAACTAAAAAAATTAACAAAATTTTCGTTGATAATGTGAACTTTAAAGTACCAACGTCCATACCCTACAAGGGTTATATAGACTAGTGTCATGGTTCAGTAATTTGGTTATTCATACAGCAGTTTGCTGCTAACGGGAATAATAATAATTACCTCCACCATTCAGTGCTGTTGTACCAAATACCATAGAGCTGATCCTCATTCTCTGCTGCGCTCTATTGAAGTTCACAAAATAACGTTGATCGCTTCAACGTAACTGCAGCCGAATCGTTAGGGATTATCACTGGAGGAGTTTTCTTTTCATAAATTCAGTATACTCTGGGCTACAAGAGATTGTTACGGTCTTCATAATTTCCGTAAGTCGTCGTATCTTCTCATAGAATTTTCGAACATTACCCTTGTCGGCCAGATTCTCAAGTTTCTTGTACTTACACATTTCGGCCTTTTTTCCCTACAAATGCGTTATGCTCCATCTTCTGCTCTTGATATCCATCCCACCCCGTACGTGTTGTGGTCGATCACAAAATTGTGAGGTAGGAATTCTGTTTTCTCTCCACCCTGACACGATATACGTAGGGAACTTGAAATGCCGTCCCACAGTTCCCTATGCCGGGTTGCTGAGGAATGCTCTCAAAGAGCAAGTGTACAAGTCGAGTAGGAAACCGCTCGGCAGTATGTTGTGATTGCGACTTCTCAACGTCAAACCTTCATTGTGTTGTTTAACGGGCGTTCATTGATACTCAGAGGTGCATTCTTTTCTGCGGTGTGACAAGATAGTGATCCGAGTCGAATGTACGCACATCTAAAACAATTTATACATGTCTTCCTTCTATCACAGCATGATCGATCTGGTTGATAGTTTTTCGAACTGGCAAGTAGCTTGGCAAATTTTCTTGCGCGGGAATCTGGTGCTACAGACAACTATATTTCGGGCTCCGGCGAAGTTGATCAGCCTTAACCTATTAGAAAATGTTTCGTCGTGGAGGCTGAATTTTACAACCGTTATCCCAAAAATACCTTTATTGCCATTAAATCCGCTAGCTAATGCTTTATGCAACCCATCGAAAAACTCCCGCCTGCAGAGAAGAGATGTTCCCGCCTTCTAAAGAGAGCGCCGTTGTTTGAAAAGGGCTCAGAGTTAAATAACTCGAGCTACCATGTTTGTAATTTAGTTTTTAAGATTTGTACACTTACTGTTAGGCTTATATTATGGCAGATCCAGTAAATCAATGAATTGTGTACAAAAAAAAAATTGCCACCCTGATGTTGAAGTCGTCAAGCACAATTTTAACGTTCTGATGGGGCAGCGCTCATAAAAGTGTTCGAGACGTTCTTAAAAGGCACCCTTGGTCAGGTCATCCTTCTCTTACGTTAGGGCGTGGGCACAAATTATCATGGAGTTATATAATTTCGCTTTGTGGCGAATTGTGGCGAGAGGTTTATCCCCAGGGGTGTACGCCAGTATCCGACACCAAATTTCCGTTCCATTTATATGAATGACTGAATTAAATTTCACAAGGACCCACCTTCTTTTTCATCACATTTCTTAGACAGAGGTGATGCCAGCCTTTAATTTTATGAGGACATCAACCAGCTGGGCAATTGTAAATCATAATCCTCAAAACCTTTGAGGGAGTGATCATCAATAGAGGATTCTCTCATCCGAAGCATTAATTTGTTTTTCATTGGATTTCTTACGTACAACCGCATATGATTCGTTTCTCACCTCAGCTCGCCTGCAAACGGATGTTTGTTGGCTACCCAAGGGATACTTGGAATAAGACCGGAGGTCGTGAGCTGCTTGAACCATTTGCAAAAGAAATGGGAGTGGCCACCAGGGGAATTGCAGTCAAAAACATTTCTCACTTTCGTCGACTTTTGCACATGGCCCAAGATGAACTGGGTAGTGCAAACATGCAAACCAGTTGGATTTTAGTTAAGGAATAGTATTTTTCCCTACAATATGTGAATGGAACTGGCAATACGCCACATCATCAGAGTTTGGTATTCCTTAAAATGTAGTGACCGTGTAATTTTACTCCGGCAACTGATTAAAATTTGCCTAAGTCAGAAAAACTGTTATTTAATTTGTGAGTTTTAGAATTTTTTGACACCCCATCGTATTTATACGTTATATAATATATTTAATATTTTGTGCAGTTTTTTAGTCAAATGATGATGAAAAATTCTCGCACTCCAATAGCCGTTTGAAAGTAAATTCAAAACACTAAACTTTTCATTTATTTTCGTACTTCAGTTGAAGTTTATTCGGCGGCTAAATGCACTTATAGCTTGACCGTAAACCATTCTTATAAAAGCTGCTTCGGCCACTTGTTCAAACAGCAGCTAATGAGATAAAAACTGTTTGATTTTTTCTATCTCAACTGTTTTCCCCCATTTCCCAAGAATTTTTGAAGTTGAGGAAATGCCGACTCAGCATGACTTGGCTTCGAAAAAATAATTTGTTTACTTCGGTCTGTGCAAACTGTGACGGAAAGTGATGGTAAAGGAAAAACTTAGACAGGCTAAGAAAAAAGTTTGAAGTACAAGAGGGTGGGAGAGAGAGAGAGAGAGAGATGAGTGGAAAAGCAGCAAAGTGAATGTTTGAGTAAAGAAAGTGAGTCAGTCATGCAATTAAATTTGCGTTAGTAAAATAAAGATTAATGTATTTTGAATTTTCCACCAAAATTTCATTATTGAATCAGATGAAGTAAACAAAAAAGGTACAGAGCCGAAAAAAATTCCAAGTAATCGACAAAAATCTCAACCAAATGTGGCATTGAAAATAAAAAGAAGAGAAGCAAATCAAGGCAAGTAAATATTAAATGGAGCGCACTACGAGTATTTAGTGGCATTATTAAATAAAAATTTTAACCAGCAAGCAAATTTGCATATCTTGGAAAATACTATGCAGAGCTTTTGCAATGCTTTCTTAGTAAGAAATTACGAATGAATATACCAGCATCTGCATATACAAATATCTAAACTCTTTTAATTATTGCTCGCAATGCCAAGAGTGCAAGGTTGTAAAAAAATTTATAAAAAAACATTTATAAAAGAAAAGTTCACTTATTTTACACTCTTGCGGTCGTGCAGCATCGCCTACTTTGATTTACTATGGAAAACTTTGCATTAATGTAGAAAAGCAAGGACATGCACTTATTCACTTACTTTCCTATGTACGTACGCACGAAGATGTATATACATACATACTTATATTGACTAGTGAGTACTTGGGTGCGCGTAATATTTAATTTAAATGCGTCTCGTCTCCACACAGTCTCAGAAAATTGTATGTAACTTATGTGCGGGGGATTTTCTTCGTCTAAGAATTATTGTAATTGCACAACTATATATGTGTAGCTGCGGTTACACAATCACGACTCTTTATGGCATTGGTTGCTGCCTTTGCTTTTAATTTAATTTTCATATTTTTTCCTTTTCTAAAGATTTTCTTTTGCTTGTAGTAATGCAAGTTGGCCGAATTTTCTTAGATCTTTTGAAAAATATTTCTTCTTATAAAATTTATTTCTATACGTCCATCGGCTAAGCACATGTAAATAAAGTATTTGTATATAATATTTGTGGAGAATGCAAAACTAGGAGGTGTGAACTTTTCTTGGACCACCAACACTCTCTGATCAAAAAATCCTTATTGTGATGTCTATGTGGCCACAGTACTCCATCATTACTTGTCTTACATTCACTTAAATTTTGTTACCAAATCTTAGTAGATGATTAATCTTGAAAATTGTAACTTAGACACTTCGATCTTCGGTCAGGAATCCGTCATGAATCCGTCATGATTGCGTAGAAAGTTGACAAACCCAATTACGGAACCACCAGAGTGCAAAGTCTCCTTTAATTGCATTCTGCATTCTATTCTAATTTTTGACAATCTTCCGGTGCTTCAAATTTCGGACCAAAGTTTATATATCATTTCATGTACATGAAAAGTAAAAGGGTGATTATTTAGCTATTATCTTTTTGGCAACACTGGTTTAAACAGCTGTTTTACCGTCAAACATCTTCAGTTTGATCTATAATTTAACTTCGAATCGACTTACAAACGAACAACACTTGCAAATTATTGAATTTCATTATCAAAATGCGTGCTCTGATAAGAAAGTTCGTCGCGCGCTTCGAAGCTCACTTTTGGCTTAATGGGTGCGTAAAGAAGCAGAATTGTCGAAACTGGAGTAAAGATCAGCCAGAAGCATTGCAGAACACAAAATGCGTCCAGAAAAATTCACAGATAATTGTAGTTCTTCAAAGGTGATGCGAATCATAACGTAACTGTGAATGGTGCGCTACCGTGAGATGTTATCAAACTTGTTTCTTCCCAAAATGTAAGAGCTTGACTTGCACGACATGCGGTTTCACCAAGACGGTGCCACATGCCACACAGCATGCATAACAATGGACATATTGAGGAGAGAGTTCGGTGAACATTTTTTTTACGTTTGTGACCGGCTAGATTGTGTTATTTAACGCGTTTAGATTATTTTTGTGGGCTTTGTTAAATTTAATGTAAGGAGAACAACATTAAAGCATTTATTCGTGAGATATTGGCCAAAATGCTGGAAGGAGAATGCCAAAATTGAACTGAGCGAATGAACCATTTAAGGTGCAGTCACGGTCAACATTTGCATGAAATAATTTTCGAGCATTAAATTGCATGGACCGTACTATCAATTCAAATAAAGATTTCATACATTTTTCTGTATTTTATGATTTTTTTTTTGAAAAGCTTTCCAATTGCTCTTAAAACACATTTTTGCAAAATCATCACGAAAGTCTCATTTTTATTGGGTAATATTTATGAGGGGACTAACATATGTTGACAAAAAAATTTTTTCGTAATCCTTGTCATTTTTTATTTTCTCTACATAATATCTATTGATTTCAATGGACTTCTTAAGGTCAGTTAGTTCAGCATAAACATAAAGAATTTTCCTTTTAAATTTCCTTTTAATATTTGGAAATAACCAAAAATCACAATCTGGGGCATAGGGTGCTGAACATATTTCGCCGATCTCAGAGGATGCAATAAAACTACTAGTTATTCAGCGGTGTGGGATGGCTCGTTGTCGTCATGTAAAAAGTAGTGCCGCAAATCCTATTTTCGGTAGAATAGCAGCTAAGATCGAGTGAAGTAATCTGACATTATTACTTTTGCTGCTAATTTTTGTTGCTTAAATTTTGCTAGTGGATATGCTCCTGCTAGGCTTCATACCATGAACTGCTGTTTGGTTTCTGGATCGTACTTATATAATGAGGATTTGTCACCAGTAATGACTTTGCAAAAAATTCTGGATCGACCATTTTCGAATTTGTTTAAGAAAAATTGATGCCTTTTTTGAACTAATTTAAAATTTGTGGTACCGATCGAGTAAGTTTTTTTGTCTGGAGTACACGATGATTATTAATATTCGCTATTTGTTAAGCAAATAAAAACAAGAGAGATTACAAAACAACTCAACCCAAATGCAGTTTTTTTCAATTTTTCTATAAACAAAATTATTTACCCCTTCTCTTAATCTATAATTAATTATTGAAACATAAAGAAAATATTCACAAAAAAATATCAAAGAAGGGTTCATTTTGTATTAGTCGCTCTCCTCGAGAGCTGTTGCACGTTTTCAAAAGTATTATCATTAACATAATCATTATTGGGTGGCAACATTAATCATTGTCCGAGAGAACGAAACGAAGGAAGAAAAATTACCAAAGTACCTTGTGATGTTATATTATGCAAGTACTCAATACAGTTCGATAAATATTTATGTATGCGCGCTATGTGCTTGCTACGATATGTGAGTATCACGTACGCTTTGAACAGACCGCAATAAGCAAATGCGCAGCACCATTAGCACATTTCCTATTCTAGTGCTTCACTGCCGCTGTGGACCCTAGCTCTGGCTGCCTTGCTCCGCGTTTGGCTATTGCTTGTCTGATGTTTTCAACTGGCGTAAAAGTCATGTTCTCTATTGGTCATTATTACAGCCAAGTGTAAAAACGCTGCGATAAATTGCAATAAAACTGAAATTAAATTTTTTATTAACCTACTATTTGCTGTAAGTGGAATACGGAATGCTATTGAGTGTTGGCTTATTCGATTCTTGTTTTGGTGAATGTTTCAAGCTTTATGCATCTAGCTAAGGGCAATTTGGTAAGGACACTCGAGACTGGCAACACAACAGGCACGTTCGATGCCGTCCACCGCTCACCGTTCGCTATCGATATAAATGGGCAAAGAAGTGATGCGAGAGAAATTTCTTGATGTAACTTAAACATATATGTTTATATATTAAATTGTATATATATAACATATATATGTATGAATGTATGACATTGACTCAGACAAAAGCTGCAATCGTAAATAAGAACACGCACAGGAAAATGAAATTAAGAATCTTCAAATGCGGTTAACTGCGAAGGTCAGTTTGAGAAATTTTCAAAAGTGGTCATTATTGTTGTATATGTGTAAGAGAATATAAAATGAGCGCGTGTACTTAAAAGCTTTTCATACTTAACTTTTAAATTTAAAAAGAGAAAATATTTACTTCGCTTGAATTTTTAGTTAGCCTATGTACAATATAAGCTAATAATTATAAAGGGTAAAGAAAGCGGTTTTTTCGTAATATTTTTTTCTGGTAAAGCAGAAAGATAACTTCCAAAAGTTTATATATTTACATACGTATGTACAATATGTAAATAAATATATTTACATAAACAAATACATAAACTCATGTCCTCTTCGTGTCATTGCACGAACTGTAATAAATATTTATTTTCGCCACCATCATCATCATCAATAACCTTCAAGTAAGCACTTATACATACATCCACATTTACGCCCGGCAGTGGAAATGCTTGTCCTGGCGGCTTGTCGCGCGGAACATAGCGGTAAAACTCATGCCCATCCTTGTACCACTTTACCGAATACAACGCTTCTCCGTCCAAATTGTAGCGACAGCCGAGTACGGCGCTTTTGAAACGCATTATATGATTGGGTATTTTCACTTCGGTCATTGTGAGTGAGTTGGATATGTCTGAAAGGAGTAAAGAAAAATGTATGTAAATATCTTTTTTTTGTTTTTGTATTTGCATTATATGAAATGTAAATTGGTGTTTTAAGTATATTTTTAGCATTATTATATATCAGAAATATGAAAAATTTTGCCGAATTCGGAGTAGATTAGAATTATAATTAATTCTATTGAAATTGTTACACTAAATAAATAGATATAATACTCGTATGTAGATTCCACACAATATATTATCAGCGATCAAGTTTTTAGAGGATCCGAATTGAGCATTTATTATTTATTTAGTTAATTAGAAACACACAAAATGTGTGCAGTTTGGTTGTGATTGTTTAGAAATTTTCTAACTCACTAGAGCTTAAACGCGACTTCATCCGCAAGAATTTCTAGATGGGCCTTATAACAAAAAAAAATTAAAAACATTATTTCGAAGAAATAAAAAATGTTCGAATAGATCGGTCCCAGGATGATTTCTCGGAAGAAAAAATGTTCCCCATATAAATTCGGGAAAAGCGTTACATATGTGCTGAATTTCATGTAAATCAAATAAATAGGAAATAAATTCGACGTCTTTGAAGGACATGCCTTATTAGCAGAATACCCCACCAACTTTCAGGACTACACGATCAGTGATATAGACATCAGTCATTTAGAAGAAACTTTTTATTCATATGAACGATTAAGTCATAAATTTGTTTTGTTTCTCTGAAAAATTTGTATTAAAATAAGATTAAGATTTAAGATTAAAAATCGAACGTTCACCTCTGTTTACGCAGGTACTTAACTAAAGTAAATATCTGTATAAACTTAAAGAAATCTTCTATGTTTAGTTAATGTGAAGAACAGTCTATATTTCCTTCATAAAAGCGAAAGTTATGAAAAGATTTAGTGTCTAATAAATTTAATTAATTAAAAATGTAAATAATTCATATAAATATATTTTTTCTTTATTCTCTGGTCCGTCAAGTGAATATGATCTTTGTGAAACCCTTATTTGGTAACGCAATCCAAATATTTATGCAATCATTTGGTGAAGTGATTGCTTGACATTTGATCAATCAGTTCACCAAGTAAGTTTCTCTCTTCTCAGCTCATGCAACCATACTACTTAACTATAAAAATAATATAGACGTCGAGAGTACCAGTAAACCTAGGCAGTTGGCAATCTTATGTATTGACACTAGTTTTGCTTGAAAATTTATTCGTTAAAAGAAATAACTTATTAATATGAACTCGTTTTAAGTAGATTGTCTAAGCTACTTTCCACCTTTCAGTAATAAAGTAAATAAAGTCTATTGGCTCTTAACCGGAGCCACCTGGTGAAGACAGTAAAGCTCTGTAGAAGCCCGTATATTTTTGAAGGCGGTCGCTTCTTAGGATGCTCGTGGCTTACTAATCTGCATTTACACGCATTTTGTAGATTTAACGCAAATTTAAAGTAAACAAGATGACATTTAAGACCTCATTGAGTGTGTACCGCAATCATCTACTTATTCACTCTGAAATTTAAAGGTATTTAATTTTTTTCGAAACCTAACAACTGCAAACTAAAACCGACGTACTACCTTAAGTGATATTCTACATTTCCGCTTTATAATGCTTATAAAAAGTCGAAGGTGATACTCGTATATACTTTTTGCATTCGTTCCAACTACTTCTGAAAAACTATTTTAATTTGTTGTCTGAAATAATTTTCAGCTGTATTTTAAGCTCAGTAATACAAATTATCATTCTTGAGACCACCAAAGTAAATAAAGTTTCAGCCTTATATTTTCTTTGTGAGCAGAACAAGCTAAGTTTTCTCTAGATCAATGCTCAAGCCTGCGTATTTAGACCTATTTTCTATTCTCCTTAATATGATCTGCATGATATAATATAAAGTTTGGATGATGTTGATGTTGACATGCCTATGTTACGTGAACCCAAATCTTAAAAACTTACTTTTAAAGAATTGAAATAAAAATGAAATTTCCGGCGTACCGACAATTCTGAGCAGAACCAACGTCAGCGGTGTGTTATTGAAGGGATTTTCAATATCCATAAAATTTATTAAGCGGTACTTTTTAACTGAGAGAGATCTCTCTTTTTCTGATACCATTATTTGAAACGTTGCATTTTTACTTACTTTTTATTGAGACGTTTTGATTTTTGGAGAGCTCATGATCAACAAGTTATAGAACATTAATCTAAAACAAAAATAAAATATTTTCCAAATGCGTTCGCTACTCGGCAGAGAATGTCAACCCCTCAAAGTGTACTTGTGACCTGAGAATCCATAGCTCCTCATAGAAATTACCATCTGCCGCTCGGAGGCGGCCCAATATAATCATTTGATGGAAAGATATTAAGACGAAAAACCACAAGTAGGAAGAGAAGTCGCTCATAAATCAAACTTTTCGACGGTATATATATATTTGTGTGATTCACTTTATCCTCGACTCTGATTTGGGTAGACATAATATTTGGCTTTTTATAAATAAATACTTGGGTGATGAGATATTATTGTTATTAGGGCTGTGAAATATCTTCACTTATTTGAGAAGAAAAACCACTTAGGTTTCCCTTCAAATTTTTGATATGGAGCTTGAACAGAAGGCATTTTGAATACAAAATACCGCCAGCTAACGCTGCTGTCCTGTTGCTGTTTTGCCTGCTTAGGAATCTGAAGTATTCATTTATCATTTTTCGCTTATGACTTTTTCGAAATTAGATCTTGACTACGAGTATAAAGCGTAGCCACCAGAAAGCTTTGTTTGCTGGCGCCAAAAAAGCGCCAATATAATTTGCGCCCCTACAGAGGTGTTCGGCGTCAAAAGTCTAGAACTAAAGCAAGGTTTTTTATTTTTGATTTATAAGGGAAATTTTAAGAAAAACAACAATACGTGATACGCACATGCATATACCGAGAGTGAAATACATTTTTGATGGGCTTAATTTGCACAACTCCCTATACGCAGATAACGGAGACAGAACACTGACATCCAAATGCATAATAACGAAAGATTGTGAAAACGCTGAGACAATGCAAATAATGCGTCAGACTCGTAGACGTAAATGAAGGACATAAAAGACGAAGGCAAACAAATGCGAGAAAGGCAGGGATAAGTGCAAAGGTTGTAGAAACTATGGATGTGCGGAAAAGTCTCACCAGGCATCCGCCTGCAAAATCACATATACACATACACACCGCTGTATTTATGTACATTCATCTATTGACATATGTATTTGCATGTACGTAATTCGTGCTGCATCGACACACAGCGCGGGTTGTAACAAAAGGATATGCCAGAAAAAAGGCTATACAAAAACGGGGTACGCAAGGCAACGACAACAATGAACATTTAGCCAGGATGCAATATCATTAACAGCAGTGGCGGTAGAGCCTGGACGTTGTGATGCTGCCTTTTTGAGATGAATGAAGATTGTTTGCAATTCTGCCAATGCCGCATAGGCTTACAGCAGTAACGTGTGATGGTAGTAAAGCAAACTCGCAAAAAATGGCATTGCGTTAGCTTAGTTTAGCGAGTTTCAACTACGCACACCCGATCATATATATGTGCATACGCCATTAGATTGCATGTAGGCATTGGAAGGTGAATTCAGTTCACGTGTCGTCGTCCCTGTAAAGGACACACATGTGAACTTGAATGCAAATAAGTGTTTACTTGCACTGCGACAACTTTGTAATTGAGTATGAATGTACACTGTGTGTCAGTGCCAGTGCCAGTGTATGTGTGTGTGTGTTAGAGTGCGCGCTTGTTCATGTACAAAGTATGTCATCAAAAGATAAACTTGAGCCGGTGCGCACCTTTCTTCGTTGGAAATACAAATTATGCCCGCCAGTAGAGCATATTTCACACTCTTATATACACACACCTTTAAACACATTCAAACTTGTTTGCATCTATTTATTACACACGTCTAAGCATCTTTGTTCATTTGAACTTTACAAACTGTGCAGAATATGCGGCAGCTGATGTGTCACTTGCTTGCATTTGCATGCGTTCAGAACTTTTTCTTTTACTTTTTCCCCTTATACTGCGAGTAGCATAAAAGCGGACACAACAGAGAAGCCATTAGCAGCAGCAGTAATAGCAACTTCAATGGCAGCAGAAGGGACACACAACAATTAACTATTGCAGCTTTTTTCCATGGTGTACTCGCTTGTCGTATATGATTTTTGTAAGAGAAACTATTTCTCAGAAGATTGGCAAGAAATATGTGCTAATACTTTTCAAATAAATCGGTATTGTAGAGGTGAAACTTTTGAATTTTTTTTCATAATATATCAGCATGTTTGTTATTGGAATATGGAATGGTATTATGATGATCATTTCAAGCTGCAAGTTTCTCGTCTTTATCAAAAATTTCTAAACATAAAAAATGTGTGTCCTCAGCACTTTTTGAGAGGACTGACCAAATCGCCGACTATGTTTTATTGTATGATACCAGCCTCTAAGAGGAAAGATTTTGACTGCGATTTGTCTGGAAGTGGCCAGAAATTATTCTTTTGGGTACTGTTAAGCAGCTTACGATTTCCGGTCACAGAACAAGTAGGCTCTGGGATCAGTTAAGGAGATATTCCTTTATGGTTTTTTTTTGCGGCGTAAAACAAATACCTCAGCGAATAATCAATATCTGCGACTCTCTCGCTCCTTTCTATGATGACTTCCATAAATGTTTTTATATCAATAATCAGGCAACCAAATCTATCATTTTGTGATTGACGGAAGACTTGTCTTGAGTGTTCTAGATGTGTGTATACTCAGAGTATCAAATATTGACTCGAAATACAAGTAAGGTTTTACGTCAGTTTCAATCCCAACACACAGCCAAACGAATTTCTACTCCACTTATACACATGCTTTCTGAGAGGACACGTTAGCAACTAAGGGAACTATGAAACGACATCACAAACTCCCTACGTCCGGTGCTTTGGCAATAATTTGGTTTCGACTGTGTCAGAAAAAAATGGGACGATGAAGAACGACAACAACGCGTGCTGG